GATGTCGCTGGCCGGGCTACAGACCTCAAGCAAGACTTCATCATCGAATTAGGACCCGTCTGTTTCTTATATTAGTTACGTAACGCAAAGATAAGCACAATTTTAAGCTAAGGTATATTTTAAGACCGATATAAGGCATGCGCAGTCTGAAGGATTCATGAATTCACTGTATTACTCGGCCTTTGCCTAAATATATACAGATACTATAGCAATATACAAATTTATTTCCTTACATGGCAAACGTGTTTTATTTATTTCATGTAAAAGAAGTCTCGAACAAAAAAAAAACACAAAATCGTTCTATCGAGCAAAACCATTGTGTGGTTCCAGTCAACGGGACTCTGTGCAAGTTAAATTGTTTTCGCTTAACAAAGGGGCAAATTCGACATTCATATTTGAACTAATCGACCACAGCACTACATTTGTTGACGACTTGAACCACAAAATGTTTTGTTTGATAATTATCCTTGCTTTAACAAAAGAAATACAGTTGCTTCATAAGCACTACACTCAGTTGTCATTGTGCATTAGAGAAGAAAAACCTACTTACGTTTAAAGGTCTTCTTCTCTCTATTTTGATGTGATCAGATGTTTATTTATTTTGAAATGATTTGAAGAAAAACTCAGCTCTATTGCATGTCTCTAGTTTCTTGGAACTCCGTTAAATCTATTAACCCCTTACCCTCATTATTTTTTGCCCGCTCTTTTGGCAAAAACAAAAATAGTAATAAAATATATTGGACGAATGGACCTTTTCCGTGTTGCTGTAAACAAAGGCACCAACCCGAGGCTGGACAAAATACAGTGATTTGTATGAAATTGTCCACCCGAGCCTCGTCCTCATTTGTTTTTGTTTGCTCACATGAGAGGAATACGGGAAAGGTCTATTAGAGCTCATCCATAGTGTTAAAACTACCACCACCCCCCCGGTAAAGGCGTTGTTCTGTCAAGGCAAAGTTTCTTCAATTTCACATTATCTAGGGGAAAAGTATCAGACACCCAGCTTATGGCATCTTTAATTAGCGGTGAATTTTATTACATATAATTAATAAAATGTACCCAAAACCCCAGATAACAGTTATCCGAAGGTGGACTTCTTTTGCGAATTTTTTTTCTCAAAGAATAAAAGGGGCTGCATCTAAAAATTTTAGAAGGGTATTTGTAGTATAAGTCCACAAAACAAATTAATATTGAGCTAATAATTACTATATTTCATTTTTGATGTAAATTACTGCTATCAAGACACAAAATGAAAAAAAAAAATAAAATAAAATAACAGTGACTGCTGATCCACCTTCCCAGTGCATGCCGTGTTAAAACAAAAACTAGACTTGCTTTCAGTCCGCCTTTTCTCTTAAAATCTGTCGAGTTCTCATCTCAATCTGGGCGTTACAAAAACAACAAAAATTAACGATAATAACAATAATAGTAATAATATATTAACTGTTCGGGCTCGTTTACGCGTGCGGTTAAAATTGAAAAATAATATATGAGACTACTCACAGTCTATGCGAAAACTGACGTGTGGTTCCCAAGCAACAGCTCCCACCTGTGTTTTGTGGAACTGACGCTTTAAGGAGTGCTTTGCACTTGCCTCGGTAGTTGAGGGCCTCTTAGCCTGCGAAGCATGGCGGTTTTGGTTGGGCGCGCAAAGTAGTAAAGGCGGGTGAGGGCAGAGAAACCGCGCGCGTTTTTGCGGCTTCGCCGCTCAGTAGTGCTCCCCAAAAAAACGGCATATATGCTACGCAGGTTAAGGACCTCAGAACTTTTAATTGAGTAGTGTGTGTGTTACATTCCTGTAAGCATTCCTCACTAAACTTCAGTGTCTTTGGTTATCCCTTTCGCGATTTTCCCGTAAAGGAGATCGAGCGTCAAGACGACTGGATCAACTTCTCATTTTCAGTCACTCGACCGTCTATGCATTATCCTGAAGTAACCTAAGTGAAGAGAAGTGGGGAGGGGTACAGTCTGTCCCTAAGTATCGTTACTAGGTGAAGTCAGTGCGTCGCCTGGATGGGAGTCTTATGCTCTGCTGGATCGCACTACAGTTACCTAACAAGTACAAGAAAAGGATTCAAAGCTAACATTAACATGAAGTTGGAGGTGCAACTCAAATGGGAGTGGCGTTACACAATATGCGCGCGAATTGGAATCGATCTACGAAGCAAAAGACACCTACTCGTATTTCACAAAGGGCTCTTTGAAGCTACCTTCCCGTGTCTGCTACGCGATAGACTCTCGACCATCAATCTTGGTCAACTTTTGACTTATAAATGATTCGAGAGTAGTATCATTTGCATCATTTTTACGGGAACTGAGAATGTTGAAGACCACGTGGACTCGCTTGCTTCTTCTAGGACTTTTTCTTTTTGAGACATCTTTAGCCCGTAAGTAATTTCAATCTGTTACATGTAAGAATGCTGTTGCGACTTAAGCACGCTAGACTTTATATATCACCATATGTTTGGCTGTCCCCTCTGTTCTTTGTCCTCTACTAGAAAAACGTGCTTGTAAATGCAAGGCAACAAAATTATTTCACTTGCAGAAGAAATGCACTTGGAATCGAGTGTTGCATTACTCAAAGAGTTACATTCATGATTCTTATCCTTTCCAAAAAGGATGCGAGGGAGAGTAAACTATCTAGAATCTATTCATTATCTTGTTTTGGGGGAGAGAGCTAGGTTTTTCGGTAACTTTGAAGAAAATGCTACCTTTTACCTTTTTTACAATATGTTAAGACCTCTCACTGAAGTAGCCATCGTAGCAAGTAAACTCGATCAAGGGTGGCAAATTAAAGTCGAAGACCATTACAACTGATTGCACATAACATAGTTTGGTAAGAACCAAAAAGGGAAGTATATTCGAAGGGTATTCACCTACATCGACTATTATATCGTTAAAGGTCTTCATTCTCGATAAAGGTAACTTCTAAACTTGTTAAANTGTTGCGACTTAAGCACGCTAGACTTTATATATCACCATATGTTTGGCTGTCCCCTCTGTTCTTTGTCCTCTACTAGAAAAACGTGCTTGTAAATGCAAGGCAACAAAATTATTTCACTTGCAGAAGAAATGCACTTGGAATCGAGTGTTGCATTACTCAAAGAGTTACATTCATGATTCTTATCCTTTCCAAAAAGGATGCGAGGGAGAGTAAACTATCTAGAATCTATTCATTATCTTGTTTTGGGGGAGAGAGCTAGGTTTTTCGGTAACTTTGAAGAAAATGCTACCTTTTACCTTTTTTACAATATGTTAAGACCTCTCACTGAAGTAGCCATCGTAGCAAGTAAACTCGATCAAGGGTGGCAAATTAAAGTCGAAGACCATTACAACTGATTGCACATAACATAGTTTGGTAAGAACCAAAAAGGGAAGTATATTCGAAGGGTATTCACCTACATCGACTATTATATCGTTAAAGGTCTTCATTCTCGATAAAGGTAACTTCTAAACTTGTTAAAACGTTAATAATGCGGAAAGTACCTCCTTAAACAAAGACTCACTCATTCTTTAGACTCTTGTTATCTTAGATCAACGAGGACGGAATTGTTGACAAAACACAATTAATATCACATGAAAGAAATATCGATGCTGTTTAAAAACTAGGCAATTTCAGGCCAATGAAAGGAAAAGTGAAAAGTCAGCGCTAAAATAATTATTTCATCAAATCCTTTCGCTAAATGGTTTTTGATCTTTTTTGGTGATTGATATAGGTTGGTCAATAAGCTTATATCAATCGTTGCGCGATTCTTCAAAGCGCACGCCTGTATGTTATACAGATTACCTTACAACAGACATACCGTCCCTATAGGCTGGAGTTGGCTTGGATTAGCAGCTACCAGCGTTTTAAAGCTTAAAACACCCTTTATTGTAAATTTACAGTGCTTTTAGAGGCGAAAACGAGGACCAGGGAACAAACGTCTCATTCTTCTGTTTTGCATCGCGTGACGCCCGGACAGTACAGTCACGAGATTAGTTTTTTGCGTGAGAAGCTCATAGCATCACAAGGCCCAGTTAATTTGCTTTGTCACGAAATATTTATGGTTACTTTCCATATTTGTTGAAAATGAAAAAAACAATTCGAATTAGCTAGACTAAGATTTTTGATATGGCAATAAAAAAAGAGTGCAAAGGAGAATAAATTTCGTAAGAAATAAGAGAGTGAAAGAAGATTAGCCGAATTTATGAAAACCGCACCAGCTGGAAAGTCTGTCCACAAAGCTTAACTTAACTTAAATGAAGGGGTCAATGGTCACCTTACTACAGAGAAATTCAGCCCTTTCCTATAAGCCATATGACTCCCTTCTTGACTCCTAATTAGCAAAGAAATATTCAAATGTATCAAATCTATCACTTTGAACTTGGTCATAGCAGCTTAAACAAACCGCTTATGGAAATTCTCACCGGGCGAAGTCACCAGATACCTGGCTATCGTTGTGCAAATGATCTAGGCCTTTTTGGAGCAAAGACTGCGCTAACGTTTCATTTCAACGTAACAGCGAGGGCAACAAAGCAAAACTTGAAACTAAGCGTGTTAATCAGTTTTAGACTAGGATGATGTATCACCATCTGTCAGAGTGTAAGGTTACCGCTGGTAGTTTCCTCAATTGCATCTTTAAAAGGTAATTCTGTACAGCGCCTTCAGGGGCGGATCTAGGGGGAGAGTGCAGGGGGTGCGCATCGAAAACCTTCCCCCCGCCCCGCGAGAGGACTTGCGGCTTTCTAATACAACTGGTATTCTGTATTAAAATAGGTTTACGTCACCAGTCCCCCTGCCTCCTCCCCCTGCCCTTTATCAAAGAGGCTCTGAATCTCGCATCGTTATCTGCATGGCTTGAAATCGCAGGAAGTTTAATAACTCTACTGAAATTAGCAGCAATAGGACAATCTTGATTTGTAATAATAGGGGGACATTTGACTTGAAAATGATTCGTCCATGAGAAAACTGGTGTCAGTTTATTGCAACGGTTTTAATCCGTTCATTGTTTTCTTGTTTAGAGAACCCAGGCGATCCATGCATTCTTGACCTTGGATTCATATTGGATGCTTCCGGAAGCATTACATTTGCATGGCCTGGAGTCCGACAGTTTGTTGCTAATGTTGTCCGTCAAGTGAACGTTTCTGCTGATGGGTCTCATATTGGTGTAATAAAATTTGGCGCCGATTCGAACGTTGAATTTGGGTTTAGCGAAGGACAAGACAAGGATGCTGTTATTAACAGGGTTCTTAATCTCGCTGGACCAAAACCATTCGCTAATACACAGTTGCATTTGGGAATTAAAGATGCGAATGAAAAACTTTTCAACAATGCCACGGGTTCGTATCGAACAGATCCCAGTGTTAGGAAGGTACGTCCTTGTTATCTCCTTCAACTCAGTTAAAAATCTGAGATGAATGAAATTTTAGCCAGCATAGCAGGTGTTTCGGAGCTTGTCCCGCCATTTGCGCTACAACCAGTTGCAAAAGGTACTTGAGACACTGTAACGTATTTTCGCATAAATGGCCTGTCCATGATCTTGTGCTTGCGATCCCCCCTCCACCCCTTATCAAAGTTGCTAGCAATACAAGACCATACTCAAAATTGGAGGAACAACTTTGAATGGGAGGGAGGAGGGAAGACAGTAGGGAGCTTAAGCAACGACGACACGGACGGCAACGAGAACGGCAAAAAAGCAATAGGTTTGATTAGCAAAACAACAAGTTTTCACGTGCATTTTTTCGTACATTTCTTTGCCGTCGTTGCCTGACTACAACGTGAAAATGCCTAAATTCACGTTTTGTCGAGGACGGGAACACAAGACAACAACTTTCTTTTTTTTCCTGAACTTTGATACAGTCCTTTACAATTCATCTCCAGAAACATTTGCCAACATTTGACGAAGTACACGAGATGGAATAAGCACGATAAAGTTTTAAGCGGTGCGAATTCACTTTTTAAGTGACGTTTTTATAGCCGTTGCCGTCGTTGTTGCTTAAGTTCCCTAGTATCATATCTCACAGACCTGTGACTAGGAGCGATTTGAAGCAAGAAAGGTCGTTTTTTCGTGGGAGTGTCTCAACATTTTTGCAACTGGATGTAGCGCCCTGAAATCCACTTTTGCGCCCCAAATAACGCTACTATGCGAGCAGAGGTTTATTTCTAGCATTGCTTTTAGCATTTGTAAAGTCGTTCACGTGGCTTGTCAGTCGCGCAGTTGGTTTGTTTCCTCTTCTCGCAGTCGAGGGTAAATAACGCCCACTCTGCCGGCTTAATATGTTCTGATATTGATAGTCTAGAGAGCCTTCTGTAGCCAGCTACCTTCAGGACCAGCTGGGCACTACCCTGTTCACAGACGTTCTACGTGAAAGTTCTCATTCAAGATGTTCGAGCTAGCGTATGAGAATAAAAACCGCGGCGGATTTATTTACCGCTGGTAGCGAGCGCGTCAGCGTCTGTGGACAGGTTATCTAGGTACCTACCCGAGCAGCTTTTTCTTAGTAGTTCATAATCCTATGGCAACCCCAAGGAAATAGCTTAACCAGTTCATGCCTAGCCCAAGTTTCTGGCGAGATAGCTTGTCACTCTAACTTTTAAATCTGAGGATAAAATCCTGTGGTGTTACCATTTAAGTGAAGCCTCTTCCGCAGGACTTTTCTGTAATACTATTTTTTTCACAGGATTTTAAGCTAAGAAATTTTAAGATCAAGCACGTATCCGAAAATAAGGGGGGATTCCACTGTCAAATAATTTTCACATGCTAACGCAATCAAATTTTACGCGCGTAAATGAAATATAGGCGATGAATGAAATGTTACAGGTGACCTTTTATACGTCTCCCCCATTTTATTTACGCGCGTAAAATTAATTGCGGTCCAGGCGAGAGATGAGAAACAGCGCGAATTGAGAAGAGAAGAGAGTGAAAAAGAAAACGAATGAGAGGAAAAGAGAGAGAGAACTCGCCCTTCCCTCTACCCCATTCGCCTTCTTTTTTTTGCGCCTCCTCCATGATTTGAACGCTTGAAACTACACGCAGGCTCCTTTAGCCAATCCACCTTCATCATGCTGCGATCGGGCCCCCACCTCCTCTATGCAATGTCCTGCCGCTGTTTGAACTACATTTAGGAAATTACAAACACTCCAACTTTTGAACGGAGGATGGAGGGAGTATGGATTATTTTGTTCTCCTTGGGGACAGTGCCTCAACAATTTTGTTAGCCCGCATAACAGGCGCTTTATGAGCCAAGCAACTGGAGGCGAACGCGGCATTTTGCGCGAAGCGCAAGACGAGGTGAGAAGAATACTCGCGATCCCCACGCTCGTCTCGCGCTTTGCGCAAAATGCCGCGTTCGATTGTACTCTTGTATTTTGTTAACAGTTATTCCTTCCTTTCTGTTGTAGGTGGTTGTGATCGTGACAGATGGGGCTCAAACGCCACCTGGCAATCCATTCACCCCAGCAAATGAACTAAAGAAAAGGGGATTTGAAATCTATGCCGTCGGCGCAGGATCCGCCCAACAACGCGAATTAGAGTTGCTTCAAAACAGGGGACTCTTCTTTGTGCAGTCAATTTATGACATACCCAAGCTTGCATTTCAAGTAGCGCAAAAGATTTGTCCAAGTAAGTATAATGAACAAAGATATTGGAATTGGGTTTTTCTTTTGGGGAAAGCGGGTGGGGGCGCTGGGTCCATCATTTTCTAATGGGCAACAGGAACAATAAGCCTGTTTTGGTTACAAACACAGTAAGATATAGACGAAGGTCGAACATGGTGCTTCGCGAGGTCCCATTCGCTTGGGCTCATCAATAATATTTTGTCTGGAACAAAGCACTACTGGGTAGTCTAGGTCAATGTTTTAGCATACTGTCGTCATATCAACCCTTTGAGTACAAATATCAACATACAAATTCTCCAAACTGATCTCCATACATTTCCTTTAAGAATTAGTTGAGAAAATTTAATGTAAGATCAAGGCATTTTCTCTTTGGTAATCTTTGTTAATTCTCTTAACAATGTATGGATATTGTTAGGGGAAAATTGATATTGGTCACTATTAGGACTTCAAGGGTTAACAACTCAGAATAAGGGACCGAACGGGGAAGGTACTCAAGTTGTTAATATTAGATGCGTTATTTTTTTTACGTGAGCTGTAGACTCACACTTGGAGCAAATTAGCCACTTTTACTTCGGGTCTACGAAAAACGCCTTGGTTAAACCCTGATTTTTTTACAATAATTTTTGAAATCGTTATCGCTATTTTAATTATGATCAAAATTTAAATCGCCAATTCTATTTTATAATAGTAGGCATTTAGACAATAGTATTAAAACGAAGAATGTCAAGCAATATGCCGAATAACGCCTAAACCTGTACTCCAGCCCTTTTAAAAATGAAATTTAACTTTAAAAATTCGATTCATTCCGAAGTAATTCGTGTTAGAAACTTGGAAGGAAAAAAATCGAAATATCTGACAGAACAGTATCTTCCGGTCATGTCACGACGTTGAATGAGTTTTTAATTAGCAAGCTGTCATCGCGTTATGTTTGTAAACTCATATTTCACAAGGGGCTATTCAAATCCTTCGCTCCATGCACTCTACACGCGACAGCAGTCCTTTCAAAGTCTGTGCTTATGTTAGTCGTATAAATGGTTCAAGAGCAGTAGAATTATAAGTCTACGATAGGAAGTCTAGCCATGGTTTCGCTCTCTTGGCCGTTGCTACTCCTTCTTGGCTGTTTACAAACGTCTATTACTCGTAAGTATGAAATTATGTCTGCCGTCAGAATGCAGCGGGTCTTCGGACCTCAACTGTTAAACGAACTTCTATATAACGAAGTCCTCGATAAAACGAACGAGCCGACCTAGTAATGGTAAAATGTAAAAGAAGTTCGATGTAACGAAACCTTGTTATAGCGAACATACTTTGCCAGTCCCTGGAACCTTCTTTATATCTAGATTCCACTATAGAGTTGTCTACGACAGAATGCAGTTAAGAAGGTTGTAATTAAAGCTAGTTTAGAAGAAAAGGACAGGAGATAGCGATATAAGAGACAAGACATCTATGTTGTAAGGTAACCAGAATTACCTTTGTGGACTGTCGTGGTCGCATTTAAAAAAGAAAAAGCTATTTTAAAAGGGAATGTCAAGGTTTATAGGCGGCAATGAATACAGTGTGATGATAACAGCCGGAGTGGTCATAATAATACTTCGCTTTCTAGTTAATTTGATTTCTGTGATTTAACTAAGAAGAGATTGATAAGCCACTGACGCCGCTATGCTTGAAATCAAAAGTTATATCAACGAGATAGGAATTAGCAAATATATGTATAGTAGTCAGTAAAGTAATCTTGAACCTCTCCAGCTACCCTTCCCTCTCCAGAAGATCTGGGGTCTGGTGCAATCCAAGAACTCTGAAAACCACAGAAAAGGTATCACATGTTTGCCCAAGAGCCCGAGCGGAAGGGGTGGTTTCGGGGGCACTTGTAATCCCCTTGTAACCCTTCGAGGAGATGTGTCACGGTTATGTATTTAATTTTGTTAATAAGAAACACTTAATGACTGGTCCCTGGGGAAACAGTTAATATTCTTTCGAGGGAAACATTGAGATTCGACTGTTTCCCGTGGAACCATAGAAGCTGGAAATTCATTAAACCTCGCTGTGACAGTGGTCGTCGGTCAATATTCGCGGGTAGCAGTGCACTGTTACCCTCTGACGTCATAGATTCTGCGATAGATTTTGGCTAGAAGCATGTGACCTCGAAGTAACCAATGGGGAGGATTGCACAGTTGGTTAGCGCCCGGCCTTCGGTGGGCGTGGTCCCGAGTTGGATCCCCCATAACATCGCATCCTTGTTTCAACTTCGCTCTTTTCTGTTTANAAGAAACACTTAATGACTGGTCCCTGGGGAAACAGTTAATATTCTTTCGAGGGAAACATTGAGATTCGACTGTTTCCCGTGGAACCATAGAAGCTGGAAATTCATTAAACCTCGCTGTGACAGTGGTCGTCGGTCAATATTCGCGGGTAGCAGTGCACTGTTACCCTCTGACGTCATAGATTCTGCGATAGATTTTGGCTAGAAGCATGTGACCTCGAAGTAACCAATGGGGAGGATTGCACAGTTGGTTAGCGCCCGGCCTTCGGTGGGCGTGGTCCCGAGTTGGATCCCCCATAACATCGCATCCTTGTTTCAACTTCGCTCTTTTCTGTTTAGCTTTAACGACCTTGCTTTAAATACCCTTACAACGGAACATTGATGGAGATAGAAGGGGGAAGGGGGGGGGGGGGAATGAGTGCACCGTCGACCTCAAGTTTATCAGTTATTATTACTGTCACGAGTTGTCGACGTAAAGTATAGTTGCTTTACCTTTACCTTTAATGAGAGCGTGCACGGTTGGGAAAAATTCCCAGCTAAATAACAATGCTTAGGGGCGGACCATTATTTTTGTGACGGGGCGGGGGTTGGAAAATTTTGAAATTAATTGTTTGCGGAGGCTGAAAACACTGAAATTAATTGTATGCGAGTGAAAAAAAATGTTTGCAGGAAGACGGAGACACAAAACAAATTGTCATTGTGAAACTTTTCCAACCCCCTCCCCCTCCTCCTCCTATAAAATTAATGGTCCGTCCCTAATTACGCTTCCTTATTGGCTGTGGGATTAGACAAATAATTCGCACACAGGTAGAAGTAAATGATTTTTACCCCCCTTAGCGGGTTCTCTTCTCATTTTTGCTCTCTCTTTTATGTCTCCTCAGAACTTATCACAACAACGGTAAGTCACCTTGAGTCGCAAACTTATGTTAGTTTTTTTATTAAGCAGATATAGCATATACAATGCAACGTAAAATGAGAGCGCGAAAGCGGGCGAACGGACTTCCGGTGCTAATTTGCCACTCTTCTATTGGTCAACTCGGTTTTGAGATCTACGCCCTGTCGTGTCTGTCTTCATGTTGTGCTTGCTAAATCTGCTAATTGACTAGTACGCCTAACGCCCACTCTGACAATGTGCGGAATCGTTTCTAAACAAAATTCTGTTGATCGTGGCAAAGTTCACGGTAGTCTTCTCCGCAGCAGCTCGGGGTGAGTCACGCAATGCCTTCCCCGCGGTGAGCATTACGCGACTCCGGCCCATGCGGACATGAAGGAGACTAGGACCTGTTTCAAACGTCTTGCTACTGCCGTTCTGGGCTGGCTCAACTTCAGCACGACTGTAGCACGACTTGGTTTTTAGACGTCAAAGTTAACTCAGTCGAGCAAAATAGCTATTGCGCGCGGGAAACAAAAGTCAAAAATAAAAAAAGGTTTTGAGGTTCGGCACGGCAGTAGCACGGCCTTTCAAACAGGCCTAAGCTTCCGCTGAAGCCGGGGTTTTATTTAAATGGACGCCAACCGAGGCATTTCGTCCACAGAACACACACGAGCACTCATCTGAGACATACATGGTAGTCATACTTCCCAATTTGTCTTACTCTTCTATGGTTTGGCATTTCTGTCCATCACAAGATGAACAAAAACTAGAACTCTTAAACAAACTTATCGTGAGGTTTATTTTTAAGGACTGAAACTGTGACCGGGGGGGGGGTACTCCATATATCCTTGGGTGGGGAGGTGTGGCCCGGCCCCTCATACCCTGACCCTGTTTAAGACAAAAATCGCTGATTTTCCTACCCTGTTTAAGACAGAATTCCAATTTTTGATACGTTGTTTAAGACATTCGTAGAACATACACGCAGGCTGTTTATCGTCCAAGAAAAGGTCCCCTGTTTAAGACAAAAATTGATAAGATCGATACCCTGACTAAGACAAAAAAATGATAAAATCGATACCCTGTTTAAGACAAAGATCCCGAAAAACATACCCTGGCTGGCCGCACGTCCCCATTAAGCCCTTATAAGGGAGTACCCCCCCCCCCCCCCGAACTGTGACTATCATATGATAGTTTACTAGAGCGGGCCGATACACCCAGCCTGGCAAATATAAGAGAATTAGCAATATGATGACAAGTATTTTCAAATTCATTAACTTTACCAACTGTCCAGCATACCCTAAAGAGTTATTTCAGTTTAAAACGTTTGACTATAGCTTAAGAGGTACGAATGTGTTAGTCTTACCAAAACCCAAAACAACTACATATGGCCTCAACTCAGTTAGATATGCCACAGCAAGATATTGGAACTCGAATGCTGATTCTTTTGGAGGACCAATAGTCTGAAGGAATTTAGACGATTAATTTTTTCCCACAGTTTCTTAAACTAGAAGTTTATTTTTAATACCAGTTTGTGTTTTATGGTAATATGTTTTTATTAAGTGTGATGTTGTACATGTAATTAATCGGAGATACTAGCCTTTGGCTACTCTACAATCCGAAGTTAAATAAAGTTATGCACAGCTGTATGTATTCTTAAAAGTTTATGGGTGTCTTGTATGGGTGTCTCTAGGTGACTTGAGATGTGAATGAAACCTGACAATGGGCCGTTGAATCTGACTGTAGCCTCAGCTTTCCTTGATTTTTTTTTTCTGGACTCAAAATAACTATGTGCTTCGGTGTTCTAATGTGTTCTTCATGATTCTCCCTACGTTTTCCTTGCAGTACGGCACTGGAACCCCGCTCTAACGACATCCGCTTAAAACGGAAACCCGTAGTAACGGACAGTTTCGTTTGTCCCGACAAAAAGCTCATATATTTTCTCTAAAATTGACTCAATTAATGTGCACACCCGTCCGGTTAACACGGACAACGGACAACTCTCTGTGTCCCGAGTCTCATATATTGTCAACCCCGCTTTACGGCTGTTTATCTGGGCGCTGTTTATGACTGGATATCTTATCAATGAAAACCTAACAGAAACAGCGAATTACCCTTCTAAGGTTCTGTCTTACGTTCAGCCTACCTGGCTCAGTCGCAAACTAAAATCGTCAGTACAAAGTGAGGTCGCCGGCCGGATAATACGGACAGTATGGCATGTACCCTTGGTGTCCGTATTAACCCGTTGACACTGTAATTATCTTTTCTCTGATTGTCCCAATGTCATTATTATTGCAAGTATAGTAAGTTCGTTGTTCCTCATTGCAGGTTTATGGTCCTCCCGGAGACCCTGGACCAAAGGGGGCTAAGGTTAGTGCTGATGATTTTTTTTTCCTTACCAACGTGACATCCAACAGGAGAGGAATGAAGCCTTTAATGCCAGGATGAAAAGAACACATTAATAAATGAGTGGAGAAAACAATAAGTAACACAACAACAACAGAACAAAATTTACATAATTATTTGTTGGTCTCAAAATGCATTCGCATTCAGGTTGTCACAATAATGACGATGATGATGATGATGATTGTGATGGTGGTGTTGGTGATGGTAACCATGATAATGATGCAAATTCTAATTTTTATCATTACCGCAGGGGTTCCAAGGACCACAGGGATCGCGTGGCAATACAGGCCCCCGAGGAGTTAAGGTACAAATGCTACTGTTACGTACTCATTATAATAGGCCACTTCCGAGTTTCAAAAACCCTCACTTTCAAAATGAGGCCAAGTGCACTACCTTTCTGGTTGAAATGAGTTTTATTTGCATGAGAATGAAAAATCATTTCCATATCAAAGGCTGAGCACTTAACCTCGTTTTGAAACAGAGGCCCGGGGGAACTCGGAAATGACCTATTGCTTAGCACACTGATTCCTGAACTTATTTCACTCATTTCTTGTCACCATAAAAATATATTTTACTATTTAATTCTGTCTGCAATATGACTTCCATTAACCCAGCCTTAGTCTATAGAACTATTAGGTTGCGGTCATCCACACATCGCGCCATCTTAAGAAGAAATAGAGAGCAAGCCTAATTTTGTCCCAGTATGTTGCATATGCCGTCACTGAACGTAAGTGAAATATGCTGTCTTACTAGGAGTTTTTCCCAAACCAGAAAAGAGAGCAGAAAATTATGGGAAGAAAAAGGCCCTAGGGGGTAAGAGTGAGGGAACGCCTGTAGTACGCTCTTTCCGGTACGCCAGATTTCTTTAATTTGATTGGTTTATTTTAACAGCCCTTGTCAACACAACTCTAAGGTCCATTACCTTGATTACTAGAGATAAGATGGTGAAGTGATCGTAATAAGCAACGCCGTGAATGTAGAATATATTATTATCTTCGAAGAACAAAAAAAACGTTTTGAGGAGGGATCTCGTCAATGGAAAATAGGTATTCGCAGTTTACCATTATATATTGGCTTGTAAACGAGTTCTTTTCTCTCTTCAGGAATAATATGCGTAGAGTCAGTTTATTAAACTTTTTACAGTATGCAAGCGGTTACTCAAGTTCAACACTTCAACGGGGTTGGAGTGGGGAAAGCGTGGAAGAATTGGCTGTCAATTCAGAAGAGACGAAACGCGACTGTGTTCACCCTAAGAGTCCTCAAAGCTGGCTGTCAAAACATTCACCTGAATATTTAAACAGCCCAAAGATATTTTTAAGGGATGGTTTCATGAAAAGATACCGATGAATTAATCTCGGAACATGCTCAGTTATCTGAAATTTTGAGATCTCAACGCACGCCGTCCAAAGCTAAGCGTGGAAGCTATAGTCATCAAATTCAAAATTAATTAACAACATTTAAAAATACGAAGAAAATGATCACAAAGAAATGGTCGCTAGACTATGATCTGCCTGAAAATCACCGGAAGAGAAAGTGGAACGTGTTTTACTTACCAATTTTTAGGGTTTTAGAGATGTCGTACACAGAAAACAACTATAAAAGATTCCTTTTCTCTGAATACATACATACTTTTAAAAAGTAAAAATTCAGTAAACAGTGCTGTCTGTCACCCGTTGACAATTATTAAAACCGCAACCTTACATAGGATAACTAGCGATAAAGTGGGGGGAATAATCTTTTAAAAACTAATCCCACAGGCGTTCCTTCCTCTCCCTCTCTCCCTCTCAAAGACACATCCACGTGACCTTATTTTTTCCCGCTCTCTGACTTCGCGCCGCACTCCACTATCACGTGCAAGAGGGACGTAAACACAGGACGTCCAATTCTTCAATCTCTTTCTGAACGAAGATACAATCTCAGTGATTCAGTTCTAGAAGAATTCTTTTACATTAGACAAATCGACTGAGTTGATATAATGGCGAGATAAAAAAAGGAAGGCGAAATGAACGTCTTCGCTACCGTCGTGGTAATGTAGTCCATGTATCTTAAGATCCCTCTTTGGTATTTGTATACAAAATCGATATTTTAATAAATTACCAGCTATGATTATGATCTAGGACTCAAGCTTATATTCTTTATGTTTTGATTGTAAAAAAGGGTTTCGGGTGCGAAAAATCACCGGGAGTTCGGGGAAGAAGATTTCTAGTTATATATTTGTGTATCGTTAAAACAGGGTTCCCGAGGAAACAAAGGCTCTCAAGGTAGCTCAGGAAATCCAGGACCGCCAGGTCCCCCAGGACCCCCAGGATCAGTCACAGGCCTGCCAGTAAGTGTCTTTGATAGCAAGAGATTCAAGTTTACAGGCATACAAATAACACACTGCGACTGATAGACTGATCTTGTACCTGCGTCATCAACATATGTCATGTAAGCGACTAATTTACTGTTTACTATATTTTTAGAGCATACCCAGCTTGAAAGGACCTTTAATTCAAGTCAATACCGTTCCTGATACAGGCGCTGCCATGGCAAGTATAATAGTAATGGTTGACAATACAGCTGCCCCCGCTCTGTATGTTGTCGGTTAATAGACCAATTCCTATATTTAAATATATAAATAAATGTCAGTGAACACACACGTAACGCAAAAGAGTATCGAGCTATGACTTTACAATGACTGTCACAAAATCAATCCAAGCGGTCCATTTGGGAATTTTCTGTTTTACGTTATCCTTTACCTTTTCTTACTCTTGGGCGTTCAGCATTGTTGAGCATTGAAACGTTATGATAACCAAACGATTCCGTGCGGCCCCTTTTCAAGCAAATAGAGATTTTTTCGGGTATACGAACTGCATAGCTTCACTGTAAGTACTTTTCTTTATATACGCGCGAGCTACTAGGATACCTCCTCGGGATTTCGCCTTCTGGGCTAAATCCCTGAGGTGGCAATTACTTATTATGTCGCTGATTAATTTGTAGTCGACAATAAAGGTTTCTCAGTTATTAACACCAAATGAATGCTGATTTTCTGATCTATAAGGCAAATGACGACCTTTTTTACTTTTTGTTACCAAAGGTTGAGTTTCTTGTCTGTAGTTGAACATGTAGTCTCCAAAGCAGCCGTTTTTGTCTCGTCAAGCAACGCTCATCCCCAAGGAGGCGAGGATCAGCGTTGCGTGACGAGACAAAACGACTGCGTGGAACACTACATGTATTGTACATGTAATTTTTTGTCATTCTTTTTATGGTCATTTTTCAGCGACTCGCCTTGCACCCAGTTAAGTGTTCTAAATGTACCGGTATCGCAGTGGTTTTCTACAATTGTAAATTTTCTTTGTTGTTGTTGTTGTTTTCCACATAAGATCAGTACACCCGGGCAGTCAGGAGACTTGGGACCCAAAGGATACGAGGTAAGTCAATTTTGACAACAAGAGGTTAGTATATGAGCGCTTCACTGCAGCTTTCCCCAAAGCCTGATTTTTAATTGCAACCGACACAAAAAGTTAAATAAAGATGATTGATTATCACCTGTTCAGGTGTATAATTTTAAAACAAATATTTTAAACCTTTCAATGCAGGCGTTTAGTGCAACCTGTACAGCTTACTATACTCCCTGCTGAATACCTTCATAGCGGTGAATGCATATGATGATGATAATAATAATGATAATAATAATAATATTAGTAATAATAATAATATTAATAATAATAATAATAATAATAATAATAATTTCAGGCTACTGGACACAGCCCACGTTTTACGTAAGGTGCTTCTCACCAGCTAGAATACGACTCCTCCCAGAGGTTTGAATTAATTCATTTATGTACTTATTCTTTGTTTTTGCAGGGAGCCTTCGGTCTTCCGGGAAAGCAAGGAAGTCAAGGAGACATTGGACTGATTGTAGGATTTTTAACTTTATGTACACCGTAACAATCGATTTACAATATATAAGTTTGATTTATAATAGACAGTCGCGCTAAACTGCGTTGAACACGTTGACTTGAAAAAATCGTCATTGTCTTAAGGGTACTAGTCTGCGAGCAGGCTCACTTGTGTGAGTTCGGGGAAATGTTTTGGTGGGAGCCGCCATACCGTGAAGAGAATGGGCTGAGGAAAAGGAAAGGGGCTCTAAGTAAGCGGGACAGATTTTATTCAGAAGTGCTGAAATATACTCCAGAAATCAACGAATTCTTTCCTCGTTATACGTACTTATGCACTGTCTGCATACCTCACACAATGGGAGGATCTGGAGTACCGGTGTGCTGCAAACTTTGGCCATATTGACATGCCTTCCAAGACCCTATACATTCTTTGTAGTGAAGAGTTAGCATAGCATCTCTCCATCGATTGTGGCGATCTCCAAGTCTCTAATCATTTACATTGGTATAAATCGGTCCGTTCACAGCTTCAGAAACACTCGCGTTTACCGTTTTCTAAGATCAGTTTCGTGTACCCGGCGAACTCCTCGCAAAAGATTGAAACAAGTATCAAAGGTACCAACGGGAAGCAATGCAATGACCCGAAAAGTCGTGCTCAATTTACTTTCACTTTCTCTTATCCTTACTAAAACACCATAGACTTCAGTTCTTTAATGTAATTTGGACCGCCGTGATGGTAACCATGTATTATAATAATGAATTACAGGATTAATCATAACATAACAAAATTGTGAAATCTGATTGGTTATCAGCTGTCCTGATTTCAGCACTAATGGGACAATACGCGCCTTCGCACACGCGCGCGCTTAAATGGCATTTATCACTGCTAGCAAAATTTCCTGTGTTTTAGTTAGAAAAAAGCCTAAAATATCACAAATTATGTTAGAATTGGACTCCACTCAGTCCTATTAGCATTATTTACTATACTCTTATTTGTCCTAGGGATTCAAAGGACCGCAAGGAGAGATTGGTGAGCCTGGCTCAGGTGGACCAGATGTGAGTTAACTCTTATGACATTTAGGTGAAACATCGATAAGTGCTAATTTTACCATCCGATCTTTATTCTTCTTCCAATTCGATTCCTATAGAAGTTCGGAGTTTTTGTTAAAATATCCCTAGTGTTCAGCTCCGCGATGTGCCCTGAACTGTCACGGTCTCCCGGACATTGGCTTTTGTTGGTGATCATTTTTCCTAGTCATAGTTTGGTTAATTTGACCATATATGGAGTTTTCTGTATCTCTCGGGCACACAATATAGTGTAAATAGAGTAATACCATGCAGTCGTAATCATTCAATCAACTTCTGCCATATTGTCACATGTTTTTGCCAATTTAATGATTGCATTATCAAGGGATTTTGAAGGAAGTGTTAAAATAAAACAAGGTTATTTTGTTGGCTATTTGTCGTAGTAACAACTTAAAAAGGTAGTGAGATGAACTTTTTACACTTAATGTGTTTTCACAGAGACAGCCCGCGAGTAGCAACTTTCATCGACGCGGACCAGTTCTAACATCGCTGTTTTCATTTCCAACTGTCCGATCAGCATTGAACTTCTGATCTTTCAAACATTGTATACTTTTTTATCTCTTTAAGGGACCTCCAGGCTCAAAGGGAAACCAGGGACCGCCAGGATATCAGGGAATAAGGGTGAGCAGTGCTTTTGTTCACCCTAACTAAAAAACTCAAAAAATGCACAAAGGCCGTTTTCAAACCACAGAGGACGGTAAGTCCGTCCAGACAAAGAATGCGTCTATAACCGTTTTTAGTTAATAAATCAAGTCGCATCTGTCTGGACGGACTTGGGCAAGCATTTGTAGTTCCTCTAGTTATACGTCTCTAGTATAAAACGGGCATAACACGCATTTTGCGTCTAGTTGAACTATCCTTCGTAATACGTTTTGAATGGCGCACAGCGTTTATTGGTATAGTTTGTCTAGAAGCATGATCAGACGAAAAATAAAATGCTTACCCAGTTTGGTCCAGATGGATAAAGTGTCTTTAGTTCAAAAACGGCAAATGTGTGGCGCTTGAGTTCTGGTCTCCAAAAAAAAAAACAGGTACTGATAATATATTCACCGATCAGATGTTATAGTTCATGTCAACACTTACAAGCGCTCGTTAAACGTACAGGCTTATTCGTAAAGACCGCTATTTAGGCCTTCTGTTACTGCCGCAATATTATTTCAGGGCGTTATGGGAGATCCAGGTGCAATGGGTCAACCAGGGTCTGTTGGGGAAAAAGGTCGAGAAGGTGTGACTGGACAAGTTGGAGAACGAGGCGCAGATGGTGAACAGGTTTGGGTCATGACTGTCTTGTGTTTAATTATCAATTTTGTACTCGCTATATCTCACCGCTGTCTTTTTCTTGGTTAAAAGCCTACCGTTATTTCTGAAAATAAGCGCACCATGCGGTTGTAAGATTCCGTTGGTGTGACACAGTTTATCTACGAATCGGCTCATTTTTTTTTGCTTTTGGTATTTGGATGAACTCCCGTGGAACTATTTGCCAGAAAATCTCTTAGAACTGTTCTTCCGTTTTTTCTTTTTTTTGTTAGTCGTCCATAAATTATAACTGAGTGCTTGGAAAAGGCTAAACAGCGAGAAACTAAACTGATGCACAAAATTGCTTTTAATTTTATTAAATTTGTTGTGTGTTAAGTTTTAGGTTCCCACTTTACTTTAAGGTCGAACTAAAGCCTCTAGGGCAGAGGAAAACTATTTCCAAGTTTCCCTTCACCCACCTTGTTATATTACGGTGTGAAAATCTCCTCTAATTACTATGGTGTGAATGAGCCGACCCAACTTACGTGAAGTCTGTTACTGATAGTAGCGAAAGTATTAACATCTCCGCGCAA